CAGAAATTTGAGGCCATTCCACTCAGACCATGTCATTCGTAAGAGAAAGTAGCAAACACACGAGACTTTACGAGACGATATCTGGTTGCCGAGGGCCTGCTCTTCTACGACCGCGGCCGCCCTGACGCACTCATTTTATCAATCTACTTTGAATCACTATACGAGAGGAGACCGACTCCTCCAGACCGGGCCAACCCTTCACAAAAAAAAGAAAAGCTCACTTTCATTGTCGGAAGGAAGCTGAAAGACACGATTCCAGTTGGCGCATACGGGCGCTTTTAATCGACTTGACCATTTGGGATCCGGAATCCCTCCTTTCCGGAAAGTCGCAAGCACAAGAGGCGAGGAGACCTCTCACACGTCCACCAAGTTCATCAACGCACCGCGCGACGAAACAGTTACACGAAATACGTGTAAAGACCGTACGTTCGACGCGGCAAAGGGAAGGACAAGGGGAGAGGAACAGAATGGGTCGGAGCGGGTACGATACCACAGACCTGGGAGGATTCGCAAAGAAGAAGAAGCCGAGGTCTGTCGGCAGTGCTGGTACGAGTGGGGGTGCTGGTGCCCAGGCAAGCCTCGCTATTCAGAACGACGGCGGTGATTACGGCGCCTCGGCTCAGAGGGCGATGATGCAGCGGCAGATGCAGATGCAGATGGCGCAACAGCAGTCACAGCAGCAGCAACAACAACGGCAGATGGGAGGATGGAACGGCACGGGTTCGGGGTCTTCCGCTTCCGCGTCGGCTTCGAGTAAGAATCGGGCTGGGGGCGGCGGTGATGGGGCTGCGGCTAAGAAGTAGAGGTACTGTAAACTAAGGATGGATGGATTCGTTGAGAGGGTTCATAAGACTCGGGATGTCCGCTGCTCGGTAGTATGGTTGTGTTCACTTGATCTTCCATATTTTGTGTGGGACGTTCGAAACTGATGGGAATTCCAACCAGTGTGGAGGAGTGGCCAATTGCATTGTTAGACAGGGCTCGGGGCTAGATGTTTGATGGGCCGATAAGTTCGGGTGCGCGGTGTAAGTGAGAGAGAGAACAAAGCGGGATGAATCGACGCGCTGACGAGGTTCAGCAGAAAACCACATAAGTTGACATCAGCTTTGGGCCTTGAGGGCGATGGCTGTGGCGCCTCCCCTTCGCCTCTCAGATGGACGACAAAGAGTGTTCACGCCGTCCGTCGGCTATCAACACGCAGTCTACGGCTGACTAAAGGACAAGAGGCGAGAGACCAGCCCGATGTCATTGAGGAGGTGGAAAGGGAAGCTTCGTTGGTTGGAGCATTGGCAGGTCCTACAGGAACCGGACTGCGTCGCATCTATAAATGGGGCACAAGAACTCCAGGTATCGCAGTGCGTGGACTATGGAACATCTTTTTTGGCGGCTGGAGCGTATGGTTGAGAGATACTGCAAGGTGAAGCGTGGTGATGTAGGAGGTATGTACCCAAAAATCAGATGAGTAGTAGTAAAGTTTGAAGTTCTGATCGAAGTTCTGTTCTATATCCTATTTTGTGACACACATCGGTACATGCATCCTTTTGTACTGACAAAAGTAATACGAAACGCTAAATTGAGGAAAAGGGGTATCGATCCAGAGAAGGGAAGAAAGTAGCAAAACGTTGAAACAAGGCGTATCATCATAGAAACCTAGCCCATCATCATTCGATCATGGCCCGAGACGTAATCCGAACCGGGACATCCTTTAGCTATACTGAGGCGGGTGCTGAGTTGGCGCCGTCTGAGAAGGCGGCTGCGGCATGTAATACTCGGCCGCCGCGCCGGTGGGAGCCGGAGCAGCACCGGCCGCCGGGGGCGGAGCAGGTGACGGAGACCGGTAATGGGGCGCGTAGCCCATGGGCTCATACTTGCTGTCCGCGTTGTTGTTATCGTTGTGGGTGCCGGCTCCGGCTCCGGCATACCAAGAGTCTCGGGTTCCGGTGTCATCGGATCTCCTGCCTTCTTCAATCTTGGCGTATGTGCCGCCAGCGGAGCGCTTGGTTTCGTCGCCGTCGCCGCCACTTCCTCCGGACTTTTCCCTGCGCCGGGAGACGAATTTTCGGTAGAGAGTAAAGGGGATCCAGAGGCCCGTGGACACGAGGAGGGCGTGGCCGAGGACGTGGCCGATGCGGAATTTCTTTCCTTCCTTTTTGCGCTTGTGTTCTGTTCTCCGGTGTAAGTCATGCTATTCTTCAATACTCCTGCGATAAGACAAGCCTTACCTTTGACCGTGTAAAACGCGAGCGAGACCAGGAACAGGACAAACCACACAATCAGGACGATGATGAGGATCCGGGCCCAGAGGGGAAGCGCGCTGAAGCCGCCGCCTCCTCCACCTCCCCCGCCTCCGCCGGCGGCACCGACGCGGCCGCCGCCTTTGTACTTGTTCTTTCCGCTCTTTGATTTGGATGATTTTGAGGATTTGCTGCCGCCGCTGGAACCGCGGCTGCCGCTGGAGCCACCGCCTTTGGGGACGCGGGAGTCGAGGATGAAGTCCATGTGTGCTTGGGTTGGATTGGGTTTGTTGGTAGGTGTGTTGCTGTTACTGTTGTGAGCTGGCGGCGGCGCTTAGATCGATTGGTTCTCGTCCCTCGCTGGAGGATATCTGATTGGTTGTGGGAGACTCTGTTACACAAGACACTCGAACTGAGGGGAAGATGTGATAGAGGAAATGTTCGATGAAGCAAAGTAAGAATGGATCTAAGGCTGAAGACAGTGAGAGAGAGAGAGAGAGCAGCGGGCTGCCAAGTCTTTAAGTATCAAAGACACCGCAAGCGGCGCCCGCCCGTCTTACATGCGTTGACCGGCGGCCGGCGGTTTAGTCCCACCACCACCACCACGCACCCAGGCCACCGAACATTGGCCTTTGATCTGAGCCCTGCTAGTTACACCGTCACACACCGTACAGATACAGATGGTCTGGGGGTGAGGCGGGGGTTGAACTTGTTGGTTGGGCGGCCCCCTCTCTCGTCATTTCTGTCCTGCAATCTTTTTGGCCTCTTTTGAGAGGCTGCGCAGCTGCGCGTAGTCATCAAACCCCGAAACTAGGAAGTTGTAAGCAAGGAAAACAAGCTTAACCTGCCCAGCAGAAAGACACTTGGAGGATGCCATGAACTGGCCCAGCAGACGGCGACGATCACGTCTCTGCCACTCTGGCAAGGTCTGGCTGGCTGGTGAGAAAGAGCGAGGAGACCGAGTTGACAAGGTGTGATTGAGGATTTTCTTAGTCTGGTCTTGGCAAATGATCAGCCGTAGGCGATACCATTCGCCAGTTTGCGCGCAAAAGGTACAACGGTATTCGTAGCGTGGTATAATCTCGCCATGACAGCCCGCCAGGGGCTCTTCCTTGGCGCCGTCCTAGCTCGTGGTAATAGGCTGTAGCCTGTAGGTACGAGATGCTCCATAGGAGAGAGGAAAAGTCGAAGAAGTCGCGACTTGATAGTTCCTCTTTCGGCATCGCGGTAACCACAGTATCGGGCGGTGTTCTCAAAGCTGCCAGGGGGGCATGCATGGTGTATACTTGTAAGCGCTGTCGGAGGGATAACCCCTTCTGAACCTGGAGACTGACCAAGACCAAGACCAAGAACCCCCAGTTGGCAGCATCAACAGCGGGGGACCTGGCGTAGCTTTCAATCAGCCTTACGGAGCGGCCATGTGCGGTCCTCCCTCCCCCTTCTGTTCTGGAGAACTCGAGCACCACGGAGGCAACCGGAGGGCTGTGATTCCCTGAGAGGCTCGTGAGAGGAGGGACCAATGCTTCCCTCGGAGCTTATCGCACATTTAGTACAGGGGCATAATCCCAGTGGAGTGGACCAAGGTAAGGTCGTGCCAACCTCCCATGCTCCCTGGAAGCTTATTTCTCCATGTGCTCGACTTGACTCCGCTCTCATAGTAGTGTATCCGTAGTCAGCGCCAATGATTCTGCTCTTCCAGGAAACAATTTACGAACATGTTCCCACCCTCTAGGCATCTATAATATAATCCTTGGCACCGATGGCATCTACAATCTCACAGGCCTCTTGGAACTTTGGAGTATCCGTAGAGAGAAGGACAGCGAGAGACGATCGAACTCGTAAGGAGACGAGAGGGCGGTCGCGACGTCATTTGAGTAACACTGATTGCAGATCGTCGCCCGGCACACGTTGAACTTTTGGAACTCAATTGGTCCAGACTTTAGGGGATCTTTCCTCCTCTTAAGTTCCTCCTCTGCTCCTCATCTGCGGCACAGCACCGATCGCCTGCTGCTGTACACAACATGCCGTCATATCTGCATAGCACTACCAATCCGCAAAGACGGTGATGGTTTGGCGTGGTTGGTTAATGCTCTGCATTCTCTTGTCATCGAAGCCTTGGCAACTTGGCAGGGTCGATTCTTCATTGGTGGGTCAAGCTATCCTCGCAGACGTACTCCACGCTTCGGCCAGAGACGAAGATAAAACAAGCTTTATCGTCGAGGAACAGAGAGAGAGAGAGAGAGAGAGAGAAAGAGAGAGAGAGAGAGAGAGCTCTCTGCTTCGATTACGTAGGAAGGGTTTGCTATGACGGAATTCTCCTCATTCTCCTGTTGGCCAACTCTGAATTCCCATGCAACGGGTCTCCGCGGGCGGGCGGCGAAGCCCGGTGCAAAGCCCGTTCCGGAGTTAGGTGCCAATGCCGGATTTCGGTGACCTTCCCTCCGGGACTGTCCATACGGACGGAAATGGTGTTTGGCGTTGGGAAGTCAATTTCAACTTCATTCCGGTCTCCAGGAAACGGGGGTCGGGGTGGGCCTGTTCGTAACCCAACTTTCAAGACCTCACGTGCTTCGTGCCTTGCTTTAGGTAGGTCGATGCTGCGCCTCTGTGGTGGTGCTTACTTGCTTGCTTGCTTCCAATCTAGAAGCTAGAACCCATGAGGCTCTGTTTGTGTGTTTCTGTTGGTTTCAGTTTTAGCATGGCAAACCACATCTCATTCTTCCAATGTGCAAATCGAAGGAATCTTGCCCCGTACGTGAAGGATCAATGTTTGGCGGCACAATTTCTCCCTTTGCTAGATCCGATCTGTCCGATCTTTTGAACATGAGATCTATGTGTAACAAACCCAGCTCCCTGGGCCTGCTGCTCTGTGGTATAATTTCCTTGCGAGGCCCGGAGATATGATTTTCATTGCTGAATTAGGGTAATAATCTCCTGGTGATTGCCGGCACCGGCAAACAACACACGAAGCATCGATCGGTTCTAGAATCTTATGTTCATCGCCAAATACGATCCACCCGAGATCACGTTTCTGACGAAACACGACGCAAGATACCAGATCCAAGATACCATGTAGTTGAGGAAGAGTTTGTGTCCCTGAAAGAAGTCATACTCGTGCCCGCCCCCACTTTTTTGGGCATTCGGATCTCATCACCCACTAAAGTGGGTGCTTTTCAGCCAAACGGCCATGTCACCCAAACGGGCATCTCGTGCAATTCGGAAGTTTTGAGCCTGGGAAAAAGATAGAAATATAGAGAACTCTTAAGAGATTATATAGTCTATATTATTTGACGTTACTGATGATATGTGGATGTTAAGGGCGTGATTTGTAAATCAGATTTTGGACTTTTGTATGGGTGCCCGTTTGGCTGAGGAGGCCGTTTGGCTGAAAAGCACCCACTTTAGTGGGTGATGAGATCCGAATGCCCAAAAAAGTGGGGGCGGGCACGAGTAGTCTCTCTTTCATCCGGTATCTTCTTACTCAACTAGGGTACCCGAAGCTATGGCCTCGGACCTTCATCACGCTACTCCGGCCGCAGGAAAACCTACCTTAGTCTATCAATGGACGCACCCGAAAACTTTCTTCTTCGTCTTCGACACGGACACTGGCGGGCAGCCAAAAAAGTAAAAAAAAAAGAAGAGGGACCTGCTTTCAGGATCAGTACATAGTTTCAGGACCAAATACCCACAATCTTCTTCCCGCCAAGATGACGACGAAAAAAGCTGCTTCAGCGCAGCGCAGCTAGTAGCTACTTGGTTTGTTCCCCATCAAACCATCATCACGACCACCCTGTACTAGCGCCGCCGCTAGGCCGGTTTGCTAAACCTCATTGTTCAAAGCTGGGCGCCACTTTTGTTCCCGTTAAGCACGTATCCCGGCACGCAGTAGTTTTGGGGGGTGTTTGTGAGGTGAGGTGATGGTAGTGGCGGCGGCGTGTAGTGAGGTGGTGGTCTATTATATGGTCTACGGGACCCGGACTCTCGGGTAGATACAGCTCGAGTTGAGAGAGACAGAGAGAAAGCAACTTCCCATCTTCTCCCGTGCTCCAGCAAGTTTCCATCGCAAAGGACACCCGCACGGAAGCGAATTCAAAGATGGCGATCCAAACCATCCTCTCGGGCCTAACCACCCTCGCCCTCACCCCGACACAACTCGCAGCACTCCTTTCCCTCCTCTGGCTCCTCTACGCCCTCCAGCTCGGCGTCCGCCGCCTCTACTTCAGCCCCATCTCCCACGTCCCGGGTCCGCGCCTCGCGGCGCTGACGCAGCTGTACGAGTTCTACTACGACATTGTCCTCGGCGGGCAGTACACGTTCAAGATTATCGAGCTGCACCGGCGGTACGGGCCCGTGGTGCGGATTAGTCCGTGGGAGGTGCACGTCGGCGACCCGGAGTTCTTTTCGGAGCTGTATACCGGGCCGGGGAGGGTTAGGGAGAAGTGGGGGTTTTATACGCAGCAGGTGTGTAATATTGCGACTTTGATCCCCCTTTCTGAGAGTGAGGTTGAAAAGAAAGTAAACGTCTTTTTGCTAATGTGGACTGAATTTTAGTTCGGGTCCCCTGGTAAGCAATATCATAAAGCCTTGTCTCTCTCTTCAATGAAGGGAAATGTGTCATGAGCTAACGATACCTGGAGAGAGCGCGCTGGCGACTGTGAACCATGATCACCACAAACTTCGGCGCGCGGCGCTGAACCCTTTCTTCTCGACGCAGACGGTCCGCAAGTTGCAGCCTGTTATCGAGGAACGGGTCGATGCGCTGCTTGACCGTCTTCTGGAATCTAGCGAGAGGTCCAAGGAGCCGTTGGACGTCATGTATCCCTTTTCGGCCTTTACTAATGGTAAACCAAAACCAACCCCTGGCCTCAATGCCTTTGCTGGAAGGATTTGGAGTTTTCAGTTACTGACGGGATGGATCAGATGTCATTAACGAATATAGCTTCGCCAGGAGTGACCACCTAAGTGAGTAGCGCGGTCTCGAAAGATTGGCATACATCAGTAGTGGAAGCTAATGGGATTTCCGCAGTCGAGGACGAGACGTTCGGCAAGGTGGTGACGGATAACCTCCTCATGGGTACGCATCTGGGGCCCATGATCAAGCATATGAACTGGGCCCTGACGCTGGTCAACGCACTACCAGAATCATTTTCCGGGCGGTTCGTTCCGGGTAAGTTGTTCTTTGCCTCTACACTATCATGGCTTCTCACTCTCGGCTCGTCACTCACACTTCACATCCACAAACAGGCTGGGGCGGCTTCCTCAAGATGAAGAACGACATCAAGGACCAAATCGGCGAGATCAAAGCCACGCAGCACACGGAAAAGTGGCAGCTGGACGTCAGCCATCCGACAATCTTCCACGACATGCTCTCCTCCAAGCTCCTGCCGCCCGCCGAGAAGACGGTCTCGCGGCTCGCGCAGGACGGGCAGATCCTGGTGCAGGGCGGCACGCTCACGACGTCGTGGACGCTGTCGCTGGCCGTGTTCCACCTCCTCAACCGGCCCTCGACGCTGCGCCGGCTGCGCGACGAGCTGTTCTCCGCGATCCCGGACCGCGATGCCGTGGTGCCGCTCGCGGAGCTGGAGAACCTGCCATACCTGCGGGGTGTCGTCAAGGAGGCGCTGCGGCTCGGATTCGGGACGAGTTCGCGGCTGGCGAGGGTGTGCCCCGACGAGACGCTGGTGTATCACGACAAGGACGGCAGTGGCAGGAGCGTGCACCTCCCGCCGGGGACGGTGATTGGGATGAGCACGTACAAGACGCAGACGGATCCGCGCGTTTACTATGACCCGTTTGGGTTCCATCCGGAGCGGTGGGTGGAGGACGGCGAGCGGCTGGAGAAGTATTTGACCGTGTTTTGCGGGGGCACGCGGGTGTGTCTCGGGATGGCGCTAGCGCAGGCCGAGTTGTATCTCATGCTCGCGAAGCTATTCCGGCGGTGGGGCGGAGCGGGCGTCGTGGACGGTAGTGGAAAGGAAGGAGAGGACCGGCGGGCGGGTGATGTTGGTGTACTCAGGATCTTTGAGACGACGGTGAGAGATTGTGAGATGGCTGCGGACTATTTTATTCCAATCCCTTATAAGGTACGTTTTCGACGGATCGCATTGAAGGGTTTTGTGTATGGTGACTGACGAGCCAATCTAGGAATCCAAGGGGATCCGCGTGATGTTTGACAGACAGCACTGACTGACGATCCCAGCGGCGTTCATCGTTAGTGTGCAACGGATAGTCCAGTGCCGGTGTCTTGTTCAATATGTCCGCGATGTGCTGCAATTTGGGCAGAATTGGTGGCTGAGCAAGCTCGGGAAATGCGGATTGCCGTCTTTGCCAGTGTGACATTGTTCCATCGCCGGGCCCTTTAGAGTTGCGATAGTCTGAGAAATTGGCGTCGATTCGGGAAGGACAAGCACAAAGGTCTTGGCCTCGGCTGCCCGTCATCTCCCAGCACTATGCGAAGCATGGACGGTAATGCTGACGGCAGACTTTGTCATCTGATGATGTGAGATGGGATCGAATGGCAGTGCTGCAGCGTCTAATCAAGTGGGTATATAATTGATGATAGTAGAATAGATATTCAGAGATCGGATTGTTTCTCGTACATGCACAGAAGAAGAAATAGGTAGAGAGAAGTTAATAAGTGAGGTCCAAGTTCGCGCCTGTTGCCGATGTGGAGGTCAAAGCCTGTTGAAAGCAGCGTCCAATAAAATCACCCCAAATAGCAGCTGACTACGGATACGTACTTGGCCGAGTCCGGGGTGGGGGACAAGTCAACAAATCCCCGGTCCGGCGTGGGTGCCGTCCGATGTTTAGCGCAGCAGCAACTTAAGCCCGTGGGCCGCAAGGTGCAGGAGCACAGGAGCACTGAAGGTCGGGTGGGCCCCACCAAGTCCCAGCCATTGGGGCAGCCAGCGTCAGCCCCTGACCCTGAAACATCGGACTGGGCCGACTGGATCACCACCATGGCCCCAAATTCAGGGGACAAGGGCAGAAAGAGCATGTTTCTGCACCACTCTCCACCACCACGGACAGGTACAGTACTGCAATGCACCGGCCGACGGCAATGACGGGGGAGCTTGGACACCGCGCGCCGCGACTTCCACGCTGTTCCTTTTACTGAGTGGCCCCGTTCCCCTCCAGTGTCCATCCGTTGTATTGTACCTTCTTGTTGTGCTGTCACCTGTCGTCCCACCTCGATGTTCTTTTCCTTACTTCTGCATACCTTCCTATTCTTCTTCTTGTCTTCGTTTTCGCTTTCTCCCGTCATCTTCAACTCCCGAGTTCCCTACGTAATGCAGACTTGGCCTTTCTTTTCTTGCCTTGGCTGATTCACATCTTCTCCCCTGTTCGACTCGACTCTCTCTCTCTCTCTCTCCAACTACCCCACGCTCATTCTCTGGATCACCATACAACGACTAACTGTTGACGAACACCGAATATAACGTCCCCCACGATTCGATTTACCTCGCTCTTACACACAAGACAATCAGCGCAGGCTTGCGACAATGGCAGTCGCAGCGACATCACCGTCGCCCTCAACGGCAGTCGACCCCTCCACGCGCAAACGTGTGCTCAGGGTCATTGCCATCTCTCTGCTTCTCGACCTGGTATTATCCCACACCCTCAAGCCGCTCCGGCCCTCTGTCTCCCACCGTTTGACTCCCAAAACTAACAAACACTGTTCCTCCAGGTCTCCTTCACCTTCATCCTCCCACTCTTCCCCAAGCTACTCGAATTCTACCGCGACCGCGAGGTCGGCCCTGAGATCGCAAACACAGCTGGCCCCGCCACCCTCCTCCAGTCCGTTCTGTCCGGTCTGAACCGTTACAAGGCCGCTTTCGCTCGCCCCATCGACTCCCGCTATGATATTGTTCTCCTCGGTGGCGCCCTCGGCTCCCTCTTCAGTCTGCTCCAGGCCATCGCCTCCCCGCTCATCGGTCACCTCTCAGACCGTCACGGCCGCCGCACCGCTCTACTGGCTTCCATGTGCGGTAACATCCTTTCTGTGCTCCTCTGGGTCGTCGCCGTTGACTTCCGTACCTTTGTCGCCTCTCGCGTCGTAGGCGGCCTGTCTGAGGGCAACGTCCAGCTCGCTACCGCCATGGCGACGGACATTTCGGACGAGCAGAGCAGAGGCTCCACCATGGCCCTCATCGGTGCCTGCTTCTCCATCGCCTTTACATTTGGTCCGGGTCTGGGCGCCTGGCTGAGCAGCATCAGCACCGTCAAGGAGAACCCCTTCGCCACGG